ATGTGTTGCTTGCTATCTTGTTACAGTACTGGAAGTCCCCTTAGATCTTCCGTCAGAAGCAGAGATCAAAAGATGGTGTGGTGAGCCTATAAAGGCTGCTGTCATACCCACAAGCATCTTTCTCACCAACAGGAAAGGTAACTACTATACCTTTGAAAAACATATTAAATAGATCTATATCTATCTAGATGTCAGGAACAATACAAATCCTTTTACATAAGGAAGAATTCAATTACCAAGAATGAGGGGGCCTTTTAACCACAGGCAGTCCTGGGTGCCAGCACGTGATGGTGTAAATTAGCTTCTATACAGGGGTTGTGCAATCCTCTCTTGTTGCAAACCTTTTGGATTTGAAATCCAAATTTTTTATTCAGGGCACTTTTGCATAAGCCCTTGAGAAAAACAAGACTGATAAAAGATAACACCTCAAAAAATCACAATGAAGATGYGAGTGGCAGTGGAAAATCCCTGGTTTTAAGCCCTGGGCTCACTTATATAATATACTCATTCATAAAGGATTTTTTATGGGCTTCTTAACCAGTGGGGCAAATAGTTTGGGATGAAGAGGAAAAACTCATTTCTTTCTTTGTTTTCCCTGGCAATTATTCATGTGTTTTCAATGTCTTGGAAATGAGATACCATGGGTGAGCCTATAACCAGGGGTGCTCACAACTGGAAGGATGTTTAAATTAGTACACTAGAGGGCTTGTGACAGGGATTTTACAGAAGTAATCCAAAGGTGAAAGTAAGTGACGAAATAGCAGCAAAATATAACTGATTTTAAACATTTATATACATGTAACTCCTTCAAAAGTAGGATTTTACATCTTCATTTTTCTTTTTTTAACACTTAAATTGCTTCTGATAAATTTGCACAAAAACTGAAGATGTTGTACTGTATAAAAACACAGTTGCATAATTTTAAACCCGGCAGTTTACATAATCATTTTTGAATCGTTTTCTGGCAGGTTTTCCAGTTCTATCCAAAGCACACCAGGCTTTTGTCAGGCAGCTGTTCAAGGTGAACAATTAATTTCATACAGTGGGAAAACATGAAAAATAAATAATAAGTTATTTTTTATTAAACTCTAGCTGAAGCAAACTCTGAGCTAATCAGGGGAGGAAATAAGGGTTAAAAAAATAAAATCTAAGAGAAATATCCTTGAATCAAGGGAGATACCCATGTCATGTAAATATCTCCTATGTCAACGTGATCTGAATTTTGCAGAGGAAAACCCCAGTAAACCTGAAGGAAAATGCTACATACAAAAGGGAGATACCCAACAATTAACTCTACTGACATGTCATTGTCTACTACATGTACCTGTACATCCTTGAGATAACTATCCTACCCAAAGAATCAGGATAATATCAGAATATATCTATACTATGCCAATAAGATAATTTTGTTGAGGTTTCATCCATAATAATTTTCTTCTCAAGCATCAATAGTCAACAAAGAAATAATTCTCAAGGGCATGTTTTACAATAACCTAATAATTTCTCGCACACTGATTGGTTATTTCTTATGTCAAGAGCGCATGCTCTTTTCTTTAATTGTTTGATCAGTAAAGATGAGAAGTTTTTATTGTTTGACATCTGTTTTTTAATGTGTCTTTCCTCTTATTGACGATAAATTTCATCATCACATTGTCAAAGTACCACCTATGATCAACACTACTTTCACAATGAGAGGACAAAATTTTTCGTTAATAAAAGGACAGACACATTAAAAACTGATCTCAATGTGTTAAACACATGGTCTGAAAGGTATAAAAAAATTGGTGTGGTTCTACGGTAATGACGTACAGTTTTTGAATTTTACATCTTTCACTAAAATGAATAATTTGTTTTGTCAAATCYACAGTTGAATGTACAGCTTATCCTATCTGGTTGTTCTAAACACAAAGACAAGGTAAAGTAAAGAATGTGTATGATTTTTAGTCTTTTTCGTCAAACTCTTTTTTTGAGGGGGGGGGGGGGGGGGGGAGTGCGGTTGCTTCAAAAGTGATGAACTCCGTTAGATCATGAGAGAAAATATGTTCAAGCCCTTTGCTACCTGCGTATAATGGGATTAATATATTAATTTTATTACTATAATATGTATGTTCAACCTTTAATTACATCAATGAAAGGTTGTCAGTACCAGTAACAATGGATCTTCTGTTTCCTGTATCCCAGACCAATTATTCATTTTAATTTAATGTTGTCTGGGATTTCAGGCTTAATTTCTTATGTTTAATGCAGGAGCCTTTCTACAACATATTCATTTTTTACCATATATATTTATCTTGCTTCTTGTCTTTATTTTATACCACCTTTGATAAACATGTTGGATCTTCGTGAGGGAAAAAACTGAAGAAACGAAAGAAATAGTCTCTTACCTAATGAGAAAACCCATGTTTCAAATTGTGTTAATTCTGATGTACCTTTATATACGCATTGCTATATCTTAATATAACCAGCACACAGAAAACAGCCTACATTTCCCAACCTTATTATTCATAGGTTAATTAATCACAAACCACAAAATATTCCTCTTAGGCTGTAAAGATTTTGTGGTGAATTTGGTTGTTGACTGATGTTCATTCTTTCACGAATGTCTTAATTTCTCAATTGGTTTGTCAATTAGTTGATGGGTTTGGGCGTGCACTTTTGATATCAGATGTATTATTTCATAAGTACTATAAGTTACACTGTAAGGAAGCCCAAACCTAATGCTGTAAACATCACCAGGCATCAATTTTTGTGGCTACTGCCTCCTATGGAGATGATAGCCACTATGGAAACCCCACTATGTCATCTGTTTGAGTGTGTGTGTGAACTCCACAGGAAGTCCAAGGTAGTTTTAGTTCAAATCGAATACTTTTAAAATT